CTCCCCTCTCACCAGTGCACATCCTCCTCCCAGCCTGTCTCCCCACTCGTGTTCCAGCAGCTCCATCTGGCTCCTTGGCCCCTCTGATCAGCTCCAGGGCTCCTGGAGGTGTAGCACTCCCAGGTTTGTTATTGCACTTCAGCTTTGGAGTAACCAGGAGAGACAGAGCTCATCCAGCATCACAGGGCTGCGGCAGAGTGCCGCTGAGCCAAGTGCCTGGGTGGTTCCACCCCCTGCCCTGAGCTGTACAGCACTGGTCCTCTGCCAGCCCTTCCATCCTGGGCCTTAAATCCAGCTGCTGCATGAGACACAGGTGGGCTGCGGTGCCACCCCACACCACCCACCCTCACCTGAGGCTGTGCTGAGATGTCGTGGGAGATCACTGGGAAACTGGCAGCAAAGTGTCAGCACTGCCAGAAAAGGTGTTTGCTGTGGCGATTGCTCCACCACTGAGCAGGACAAGAGCAGGTAACTCTGCAGAAAGCTGTAGGTCTCCCAGTCCTCTAAACTGGAGAAAGAGCCTTCATGGAGTGAAGGAGCAATGCAGGTTGGTTTTGGAGAAGAAGGGATGTGGGATGGATGATAAATTTGTCCATTGTTTAAAGATGATCTTGGGAAGGTTGGCCCAAGGTGCAGAGCTCTTGGTCTTTTCCCAACAAAGGCAGCTGCATGGAATAATTTACCCTGGGCAGAGCTCAGTGCAAGCAGAGCCACACAGGAACTGCCACTGGGGTGAAAACCCAGAGAGTTTGGATTTGGTTTAGAAAATAAAAGCAAGAAAGTAAAAAAAAAAAAAAAAAAAAAAAGAAAAAAAAAAGTCATTGTTCATCTACCTTTGGCTGCAGAGTCTTCCCGTGCTTGGACATCATTCCTACAGGTAAGGATTAGAAAGGCATCGTTCCTTTAGATGGGTCTGGGCATCATGTGACTCCAGGAGCAGGGGGATTTGAGGAAGAGCTGTTGAATGTCATGAACTTTGCAGCAGGGTGGGGCCTCGGTTGGCAAAAAGCCTTCCCACCTGAGCAGGGCTCCCAGGAGACAGCCTGACTTAGGAGCCAGCAACTGGCCTGAGAGGCTCCAAGTGTTGGGAGAGGATCAAAAAGCTCCCCTGGCAGTAAATCTTTCACCTGCCATGTGACTCACTGGGGCTTGTGGCCATTCCTCCGAGGTCGGCCCCGGGTCAGGATTTCTCCTGTCTCTTTAGCCCCCAAACCTGGAGATTTTTGTCTTATCTTTGACGCCATCTTGACACCGAAAACAAATTATGGCCCAATTACCCTTACTCAGAGGGGCTGGGGCTACCTTAAATGGCCACAACTACCCGGCGCTTCCTTAAGAGCGGTAATTAGGGGGGCGTGGGGAGGGGAGGGGAGGGGGCAAGGTCTGGGGGTGCCCCTGGCATGAGGCTGCCCTTGCTCCCCTGTTTGCCAAGGCAGGAGGGGCATCCCATCCAGCCTCATCCCATCCCGCCCATCCCATCCTATCCCGTCCCATCCCGTCCTGTCCCTGCTGCACTCCGGGCTCCGCAGAGGCCAAGCAGAGGTGGGGCTCCCTGGTGTCCGGGCTGGGGGCTGCCCTGCCCCCTGCCTCCCCCAGCCCCGTGTCACCGGCTGGGCCAGCCCAGAGGGGCCCCGTGACGGGAGGCAGCAGCCCTGGCCCTGGCCGTGACCTTCGGGACGACCTCGAGTGCGTCCCTGCCAGGGCTGGGGACCGGCTGTGCCTCTCATTCCAAGCTGGGACATTTCCGTGCTCACCCCGAGAAACACGCGACAGCAGCATCACGGCTGAACTGCCAGAACAACCGACCTGAAACTTCTAAAAATTATATTTCTTCCCATCTTTCAGTCTCATTACCCTGGCCTCTCCTCTGCTCTGTCCCTGGGCATTTTTTACCCAGGGTTGTGCTGTCTGCCCGAACCCAGCAGCTGGTTTGGGAGCTGGCAAATCCAGCCTGCAGCCCGGACAGTGCTCACGGGTGATCGGGTGGCTGGGTCTGGGTGTTTCTTCCCCCTCTTTTTTTTTTGTCAGATTGGTATTTTATTTGGCTCCATCCTGTCTACCGAGCTGTCCAGTGTAACCCTTCCCTTGCTGCTTCTGAGATAAGAATAGGCTCCCCCGAGATCAGATAAACAGGCCCATAAATACCTACAACAACAAGAAGCGGGGTCTGGGCTTGGCAGGAAAGGAAGGGGGGGGGAAAGTCAGAAAAGGAGCCATTCCTTTGCATGCCAAGCCAGGGGTGCAGAGCGAGGGGTGGGAAGCGCCCGACACCCCGACAGCATTGTCCCCTTAGCCAGAGAGGGAGCCAGGTGCCAAGCAGGGCTGGCAGCAGAGTCCCCTGCAGTGTCCCTCGTGGCTGGATTCCAGCGGCAGGAGCCTGGCACGTAAGGTGGTGCCCCGGGGCCAAGCGATGCCTGCGTGCGTGTTCCCCTGCCCGGGCAGTGCCGGCCCCGCCTGCGTGCCCCGAGCCGGCTGCTCCCAGCGGCACCAAGTTCACGGCAGGGTCGGGCCGGAGGTATGTGCAGGGCCATCTCCCCTGAGCGATGAGCTAGGCACTTCGGTAGCCAAAACCTCAAAGCCGGTGGCCAAACCGCTCTTCCAGGGAGTTCTGGTGCCGGCGGCACAGGAGCTCTGCCGCTGCCTGCCGGGCGCTGCCGGGACGCCGCTCCCAGCCGGGGCTCGCAGCCCGAGGAAGGAAAGGAGGCTGTCCCTGTGTAGGGCTCCCTGCAGCTCCTCTCCCTTTGGGGGTGAAGGGGTGACCCCATCCTAGGCTGGGACAGGCGCTGAGCTGGAATCTCGACTCCCCGTGCCGGCCCCGGAGTGGCGGAGCCGCCTGAGCGGAGCTGGGGACGGAGCTCGCTGCTGGCAAACGCAGCCCTTCCAAAGCGCTTTGGGCAGCGGGGAAGCCCGAGGCCACAGGAAATGTTTAGTGGGGTTTTTTTTCCCCTCTCACCCACCAAACGCTGAGCCACTGCCTCACAGGGAAACCCCTTTGCTGGGCAGGGAAATCCTCTGCAGCCGTGGAAACGGAGAGCGATTTCCTTGCAAAATCCCGAGGACCAGGAGAGGCTGGCACTGGGGACCCCTTCCCCAGCAGTTCGCAGCCAGCAGGTACCACCACCAGAAACCTGTGGTAAGAAAAGAAAAAATCCTGCGGATGCAGGCAGAACATCGCCCTGGCTGTGCAGGGTGCTCCTTCCCAGAAGCAAAATTGGAAACACACAAGGTAAAAACCAGCGGAGGTTTCTGGGGGGGTGAAAGCGCAGGCTGGGAGTGATGTACCGGCACCGGCGACAGGATTCCCGGCCAGTCACCTTTGCCTCACAGCAGAGCAAGTCCCGAGTCCCCATTTAACCCTTTCCCTCCTCGCTGCCGAAGGGCAGCCCCGATTGGTGCTCTATGGACACACGGATACCGGCTGGCACATATGAACAGGACTGCGGACACATTTATGGGGCGCTGGATTGTAGTGTTAGTGACAGCTTGGGAGCTTACCCATAAGAACCCAGCCTTTAGGAGAGTGTGAAACTTAGACATAAAATAGGATCTTTGAGGCTGACTTTCTGTACGTTTTCTTTTTCTTTTTTTTTTTTTTTTCTTTTTTTTTTTCCCCTTCAATGCTACTCTACTTCACTCATGGAAGTGTTATCATGCTAAACCTCTTATAGCTCAAACAAAAAGTACCACTGCGGGCGGGCATTGCTCTTCTCTGACAGTCAATTTTCATCTCAGCCTCGCTCAAAGGGATCAGAAAATAGATCAGGGGCAGGGAAGGCAGCCGTGCAGCGGCTCCGGAGCGAGGGAAGGCTGATTTACACAGCCAGATTCTTCTTCCTCTAGAGTTAATTACACTGGCTGTACCCCACAATGTTTGTGTGTCCCTCCATCTGTATTTGGACACAAAGTGGCTATAAAACCCAAGCCGCTCACCGATGGGTGAGGTGGGGTATTCTTAGTGTGTGCAGATTAATCGATGTGTCAGTATTTTACAGAAGTTGCATCATTATTTCCATACCTTTAGTCGCAATCAAAAGTTTGGTTTCAAACAGAAAATGTAAACGTCCCTGCTGTGAGCCCTCGGATTAGCCCTAGAATAAATAATGTGCACATTTTCCCGTGCTGTTTTTCTTTGCCCCAAGCAGCCTCCCGACTGTCAGGGTTTATCCCGGTGTCTCTGGGAACGGCGGCATGGCCAGGCTGGGAAGGCAGGATCAGGCTCTGAGCCCGCGCACGCAGGTCTTGGACTCTTTGGTAAGAGCACCGTGTGTGCACAGTGGCGAGGATTTGGCTTTAATTATTAAGGGTTTACGCCTGAGTGGTGACAGAATTTGTGCTGCGTGAGCGTTGCTGTGTCTGAGGCTGGTGGCATCCATCGCGTTCGGATGGCGAGGAGGGGACGCTGCTCCTTCGAAGTGTGGCCGGGGCAGCGCCTAACAGGGGATCCCTGTCAGAAAGTGCTGCCGGCGCCAGAGCCGGGCGGGCGGCCCCGGCAGGACAGGGGAGCCGAGCCCTGGCTCTCTGCGCGGCACCAACGAAACCTGGGGCTCCACAGCTCTGTGGTGCCATCCAGACGCTGGAAAGGCCTGATCCTGCCATCCTTCCCCAAGCCAAATACGAATCCATTCCCTCTAGCTGGGCTCCTGGGGAGGGAAGGGAAGGGGTGGTCGGGCAGGGCAGAGTCCGTGCCCTGGAGGAGGTCGCGGGTACACGTTTGCAGAGCAAAGGACGTGAGCAAGGACGGCATACACAAGTCTCAAAGGATCCCGAGCTCCCCAAGGAGGAATTTCCTGACAAGAATCGGCCCCACAGCAGACTAGTGACTTCAGGGGTGTCTTTAATCCCGCAGCATCCCTGTGGGCAGCGCAGGGGACCCAGCCAGAGCAGCGCGATTGCCGGAGCAGGGGAAAGCAGAGGGCTCGGACCCGAGGCCGTTGGCATAAAGTTTAAATTTTACTTTATTAATTTTTTTTTTTTTTTTTTTTTTAGCTATTCAGTTTTAAATACGTGGTGTGGCGCGCTCGGTCCCTCGGGAAGTGGTCATGCAGATCTGAGGTAGAAAACCCGGCACAGGAGTGTTCCCAAATGCACCTCTAGGTAGTTTCACCGCAGCCACACGTCGGTCAGGCAGCGGACGGGGAGAGGGGATCGGGGGCTCGTATTTACAACAGCGAACGAATCGAACCGCTCCAGTCCGGCCCGGCAGGGCAGGAGCCGCGGGTCGCTGCTGGCAGCGGGAGGGAGCAACGATTACTGCAAATGCGGGAAGGGGACAGGGGGAAAGGGCCCAGCTGGTCCCCGCTGCCGACGAGGCGGGCAGGACCGAGCCCGCAAAGCGCTCTCGCCTCTCTCCCGCGGAGCATCCCTCCGGGCGGGGGGCAGCCGGGCCGGCTCCCCGTATCCTTCGCCTGGATGGGCTCCGGGGCCGGGCTGGGCTCTCTCCGACATTGCACATGGAGGGGCGGGCGGGTAGCTCTCAGGGGTTCAGTTCCAGAGCCCAGACCTGCTGGGGCCAACCCGTCCGGCCCTTCAGCTTCTTCTCGCCGTGACCCAGAGGCTGCGAATAGACCTCGGGCTGCTGCGGGGGAGGAGATGGGGAGAGGAGGGAGAAAGGAGCGGTCAGGAACGGAGCGGGGTCCCGCGCCGCCCGCCCGCCCCTTGCGCCCGCCGCAGGGCCGCAGCCGGGCCCCGCAGCTCCGAGCGGCTTTGCCAGCCCGAGGACAAAGAGGGACTTTAGAGGTCCCCACCCCGCCACCCGCCCGCTGCAGCACGGGGAGAAGCGGCCGCCCTGGCTCCGAATCGCTCGTCCTGGGAGAGGGGAAGGACAGACCGGGGAGGCTCCGCCGCCGCCAGTCCCGGACCCGCGGGCTGACCCCTCGCGCAAAGTGCTGGGAAACCCACCCGGCCCGTCGGAAGGGCTATTTTTCGACGACTTTTCCCTTCACAGATTTGTTATTACTATTATTATTGTTGTTGTTGTTACGCTGGGAAAAAAGGCTTCAGCGAGGCCGGGAGATTTTAGAGGATTTTTCCCCCCAGCCCCGGGGTTTTTCCCGTCCCTGCTCCCTGGCCCACGGGGAGCAGGGACGCGGGTCCCGATCCGCCTCTTACCGTCTCCCTTTTCCTCTTGTTCTCCCTGCCGTCCGCCTTCTTGAGTTCGGCTTTGAAGCCCTCGGTGTCCCCGGGCTGGCTGTCCTTGGCCAGCACCTCCATCAGGTAGGCGATGTAGCTGGTGGCCAGGCGCAGGGTCTTGATCTTGGAGAGCTTGGTGTCGGCGGGCACGTTGGGGATGCACTCGCGGAGCTCGGCGAAGGCGCTGTTGATGCTCTCCGTCCTCCGCCGCTCCTTCTTGGGTCCCCCGACACCTTTTCGCCGTCCCAGGCGGCCGCTGAGAGCCTCCAGCCGCCCCGGGCCGGCCGGGCCGTACTCGGCGGAGCCGTAGTTCGGGCTCTGCCCGGCGAGCTCGGGGGTGGCCTCGGCCGGGTTGAGCACCCAGCCGGGGAAGTAGGCGCGCTCCTGGTGGCACCGCGCCGCCGGCCCGAAGAGGAAAGGATCGTGCAGCATGTGGTGGTGATGGTGGTGGTGGTGGTGATGCTGGTAGCCCCCCACCAGGTTCATGATCCGCTCCGCTGGCCCCGGGGGCCGCTCAGCAGCGCTCCATGGCCGGGCGGGAGGCGCTCCCCGCCGGGCGGGCGCGGCGGGCTGCGGGGAGCGCGGCTCCGGTGGCAGAGGCGGCTGCGGGGTTTGGGGTGGGGCGGGCGGTCTTTGGGGTTTTGGGTTTGTTGTTTGGGGTTTTTTTTAACCCCTTCTGGAGCCTCCCGACCCTGCCTTTATATAGGGCCGCGGCCCCCCCGCCGCGGAGCCAATGGGCAGGGGAGGATGCGCGGAGGCCCCGGGGGGAGCGAAGCGGCGGAGGGGGCGTGCGCCGCGCTCCGGGCTCGGGGCTTTGGGCTCACACCTCCGCCGCTTGCCCTGGCTCCCGCCCGCTCCGCGCTTTCAGGGAGCAGGGGGTGAGGAAGAACCGAGGGGCACCCCACCCCCGTCCCGGAGCGCTCCGATTCTCGCTGCCGGGGCGGGGGTGTCCGAGCCCCCCGAGAGCCGGCCGGGGGAGGAGAGCCGCGGGAGCCGCTGGTGGATGTCCGGACCTCCGACGGCCGAACCGAGGGAGAGGAGAGCAGCGGGGCCAGGAGGGCAGAACGGGGTGCTCGGGGCCGCTCTCGGAGCCGGGGGATGGGGAGGAAAGCGGGGAGAAGGTATCGGAGTGAGGCGCGATGGGCATCCCTGCGGCTGGGGCGGCAGGGATGGGGTGTGGGCTCCCTGCCTGCACATGGGGCTCCTGGCCCACGCCTGCGTTGCACAGCTGCACAGGGATGTGCACTGCACGTGTGTACAGCACGCAGCCACGCTGTGCAATGCACGCTGCACAAATCCACGCTGCACTTGTGCTGGTTATACCATGCACTGCTGCTCACACCACTGTGGGCACACGTTGCCCACATGAACCACAAAGATGCTGCATGCACCACACAGCTCTGTGCTGTGCACACACTCCACAAACAGGTCACACTCATGCACCCATATATGTTACATACACCAGCAGCACGGATGTGCCACATGCACAGTGTCATTATAAGTACATGACACACACATGTGGCACATGCACAATGTCATTATAAGTACATGACACACACGTGTGGCACATACACAGTGTCATTATAAGTACGTGATGCAAACGTGTGGCACATGCACAGTGTCATTATAAGTACGTGATACAAACATGTGGCACATGCACACCTATCACACACATGGCTCATAAACACGTGTGTGTGCTGCTCACCCGTGCACAGACACTGCATAGATACATAAATATATAAAAATTATACTGGCCATGCACATGAATGTATTTACAATAGGGAGGGGGGTGACCTGCCCTGCGTTTCCCTGTCCCAGCCTGGCCACGAAAGGGCTGGGGCGACACGCTGGGGTTGGGGTCCTGTACTTCACCACAGCCCCAAACGCAAGCCCAGGGAGGGGCCCTGAAGTGGACAGCACATCCTGCTCGCCTCTGCACCCATGGGTGACACATCCCAGGACGATGTCCCAGAGCCGGGCTTCACCCCCAGCCCTGCTGGGCGGCACTGGGGCTGACCCCTGCCCTTGCTGCAGTGACTCCAGAGAGGACAGGCTGGGCACGGCAGCGGGGATCACAGCACGGCGGGGCAGGAAGGGGCTTTGGGCCCAAGGTATGTTAGCGATTAACGGCGCTTTCCAGCGATTCATCTTGCAGCGGAGGGTGGAAACGTTGGAGGGTTGTTTGCAGGCGCTTGTATTAATCATCCGGGCTAACACACCATTAACGTCCTCCTGCATTTTAAAGATGACAAATTTTATTTGACTTCTCTCAATCACGGTTCCCGGGCGGATTCGGGAGCCACTTAAATGCCTCGGATTTTCCATCGTTAGTTGTTACAAGGCGAGCTGCAGAGGCAGGAGGCTGGGGGGGCCGGGCAGGGTGCACGCCGGTCTCCGGTTCTGGGGGGGAGCGGCCGTGCCGGATCTGCCCAGCTTTGTTCCCCCCCTGCTTTGTTCTCAGCTGCTGCAAAGACCCCGCTTCCCCACCCCCTTTAAACAAGCGCCCTGCAAACATTTGCTAGTGATTACTCTCCTGTTAGAGCCAGGCTTGGGTAGGGTAGGGCGTCGTGTCCCCGATTTCCTTCAAACCAGCCGTGGGTGGGTGGGATCCCCGAGCCCGGCTCAGAGATGATGGGAGCCAGCTCTTCTCTCCACCTGGGAAAAGTTCAGGGGTCCCACTTCATGCCTCACCTCTCTGTGCTGGCAGAGCATCACCTGTGGAGCCCTGCTCCTCTTACAAACCACCCAAGCTCCTCACTGAGCTTCTCCACAGCCCTGCCAGGTGAGAGTCTGTGGCACTCAGCCTCAGCTCTAGAAATACCTCCCAAAAATACCCTTTTCATCCCCACAGCCCTGCATTGCACAGGCCACTTACAGCCACATCCAGCTGGGAGCTGTCACCTTGAGCCCTGCACCAGAGTCACCTCCAGCCTCCAGCTGCCAAGCCAGGTAAGTCCAGCCCAAGCCTGGGCGTTATCTCGCTTAATCCACCCCTTGATGGAGGTCCCTGGACCCTGCAGAGTTTGGAAGTGCTCAGCTGAGCAAATAGTGGGACCAAAAGGGCTGATTTTTCCTTTGGAAAATCATTCTAATCTTTCGTGTTTTAATAAAATAATAAAACCAGAGCCCTTTTCATGCCGACACCTTCTAAATCAAACCAGACTGCCTTTGTCATGGCGTCCAAATTTAGCACTTCTCAAACTTTTGGTGAGTTTCTTTAATTTCACATCTCCTCACTCGCATGGGGGAGAAAATGCCGAGCAGTTTGGATTAGGAGATTTATGTCTGGCATGGCAGGAGGAACCACGTTTCTCTCCACCTGTTTTCCTTCAAATCAGAGAAAGATTTCCTGCCCTCATGGCCAGGTGATGGTGAGGGGGCCAATGCTGCATGTTGGGAGTGAGGTTATCCCAGGTCTCTGTGAACCCCAGCACCCCACACCCAGCAGGGGCCACCAAGCCCTGCATCCATCCCCAATTCTGGGCCAGGAGCTGAGGTTTTGGCCCTGGCCCCTCAGCCACCTCCTTATCAGCGCCCAGCCAGCGGCAGCCCCGCTGTCCTGTGACTTTGACGCCAGCTCTGCTCCCCCCCTCCGGCTCCCTTATCTAAATAGGAGCGTAAATCAGGGCCTTGGCAGATGCCCTGGCAGGACAGGGACTCCATAAAAAGGGGCTCTGCTCCAGCTCTGTTTACATTGCAGCCCCGTAAAATATTCCCCTTGTCTTCCTTGTTAGCGTCTCCCTGCAGCATCCCAGCACCCTGCTGCACCCACATCCCTCCACCCCAAGCTCCTCTGAAGCCCCAGGGTGCAGCCAGGAGGGTCCCAGCCCTGTCAGCCCCCAGCCCCACACCGTGTCCCCCGTCAGGTTATGCCCAGGGTACCTCCTCACTCCTCCACTGATCCCCTCCTCAGCCACTGCAGGCGCAGAGCAGGGCTGAGCCAGCTCCCCTGGGCAGCTGGGTTGTGTCTAAAGGTGCCCCTGGGTATTTATAGCACTTGCCTGGAATAATGCAATAATAATCACTCAGCACCTTCCTAACAGTTCTGCTCTCAGAGGCCTCGGGGGACGGTGGCAAAAACCCTTGGGAAACTGAGGCAGAGTCTGCTTCAAGGAGAGCTGCAGAGAGCTTCTCTGTCTGGGGGATTATTTTCCTCCTGGCAACGTGAGGAGCGAGAGAACCTGCAGAAGTGAATGGAATCAAGTAAGTTTGATCAGCAATGAACTCAGCTCTGGGGTCACAGCCAAGGCTGGGCTGCAAAAGCCCACCCAGGGCATCTCTCGTCCTCAGCAGGGTTTGCCACAGGTGTCCTGCTGTGCCAGGATGGGTTTCACAGGGGTGAGGGGTGCTGGGGTGCACAGAGTTCACGCTTGCTGGTGCTCATGCTCTCCTGTGCCCACACACTGCCTGAGTCCCCCAGGCTGCATTGCTGGGCTGCTTAATTCTGCACCAGCACCACAGGAGCAGCTCCCAGTGAGACAGAGTCTGTCAGAGCCCCGTGGAAGGAGCAGGAGGGATTGGGGGTGAACACAGGGCTGTGCCTGGATGTTCCTGTTCCCAGCAGCAGCCCACAGCATCTTCTCTGTCCACACCCCTCCTGTGCCGCCCCTGTGGCGACACACAGGATGGCTGCAACCATTGCCCCTCAAGACATACCATCTATTTATGGCCAAACAGCCACTGCCTTGCTTTATCCATTCCTTTGGATAAATCAAAAGGAAAACAAAGCTTTACGGAAAAAAGTATTAAATTTTCCGTGTGCTCCTGAAGGGATGGGCCAGGCACTCGCTGTTTATTTTTTGGGCTCTCTCTTTGCTAATACTGTAAGTGACATTGTGTTTACAAAAGTTTTTATGTCATCAGAGCAAAGTCACAGCTCAGCTTCCTCTCCTGTGTATTTTATGTAGATGGATGTGTCTGTGAGGAACATTCAAACTAAACAGAGAGCTGGTTTATAGGAAAATGTATTTATTTGAAAAATCGTAACTCACAATTTCGGCAAAACCGGGCTCCACATTTATTGCTGCTAATGGGGTGTGGCGGCCATAAATTAACCTGGAAAATTGCTGCAGCCATTTCAACAATGGCTCATTGTGCTGATGGAGCAGCAGCTCCTCAAAGACGGCTCATGTCAATTGGCAATTAGGTTTGGATGCAAACAACAGGTAAAGGGAAGGTAACAGCAGCCTCGCCGCTGGAACCAGCCCCAAAATCATTGCTCTAGGCTGGCATGGGTGCCCTGAGCCTCACTTAAAACTGAGCTGTTCCCTCATCTGATTGCCATGGAAGTCAGTGGAAGGAGGCTCCACCTGCCATAAGGGGAATTTCTATTTATATTAAATTACCTGTCATAGACACATAATTGGAGATGACAGAAAAACCGAGTCCATGAGCTCTGTCTGGCAGCCCAGGCGCATGAGCCACCTGCATGGAGAGCGGGTCCAGTTGTTCCCTGGTAGATCTCTCTTCTTGAAAGAAGTTTTGCACGGAATCAGGAGTGATGCTCCTACCCTAAAACCTCTTCTTTCCCACCCAGATTCCTTGCTTAGACAAACACTGATCCCCAAAACCTGGAGGCTGGCTGCTGACCCAGGGGTACAAGCTGCCACTGTCATTCTCCCACCCTTGATCACCTGGCCCAGGGCAGGGTTTGGCTGCTGGCTCCTGGTGGCAACTCTCCACTCATGGGGAGTAGTGGAGAAGAGCTCCCAGATGATTCAGGTCCCTGACAAAAACCAGTGCCTTTCCCTCCTCGAACCACTTTCCACTCCTGAAGCAAATTTACAAGAGCTCTAAAATGTCCTGCTCCAGGGCATCAGCCAACTGCTAATGGCTGGGGATTGGGAAAGACATTTCCTCTGCTCAGAAGGATTGCATAAGCGCTTATTAAGGCAGCTCCTGGCGTCTTCATCCAAAGCATCTGGTTTGGGGCATAGCTGGAGACAAATTTCTGGGTTTGGATGGGCAGAGCTGGACTTGCTGCTTCCAACCCTTCCCTTAGTGCAGCTTTGGGTCATCTCCTATGTGCTGGTGCAGAAAGGGAGGTGGGTTATGACATGAGATGTGTCCTTCTCCATCTCCCCCTGCTCTCCATTAATCCTGGTGGTGCCACTGTGGGAACTTCTCTTCCCACTCCTTCCAACTCCAGGAGCTCAGCGACCTTCCAAGCCCAGGTACCACGACACCACATGTGCATGAGGGATTTCCCTGGTCCCTGTTACACCAGCATTCCACATTCCTTGAAAGAGAGGCTTCCCTCCTGTCCCATTGCTACTGTCCCTGGCACATGGACTGGCCTGGCTCAGTGGGTGAGCTCCTGCTCTGCACCCTGTCTGTGTGGCATTGCAGGTAAATGGCTTTGTGGCGAGAAAAGGCTGCTGACAGTGGTCCTGACCACCAAAAAAGGTTGGGATGCTTTTAGCAGGGCTCTGCTGTGTCACAGGCTCAGTGCGATGTGCTGGCAGTGCAGAGCAGCCAGAGCCAGGGAACAGCATCCTGTCCATGTCTCCCTGTGGTGGGACCATGTCCTGGTATCCCTGCTTCCCTCTTTCCTCTCTGTGTGGATCCACATGGGGTTTTTAATTAATTTTGTCTCTAAGATTTTCAGGGCAGCTCCAGTTCTCATCACAGAGTGTCTCATGCCAGGTCTGGCTATGCCTTCCCAGCTGTGCCAGGGTAGGAGGATGAGGACTATTAGTGGTGCTTTATTATCCTGGTTATACTCAGCTCTCTCAAAATTCCAGTTTTTCTCTCTGTTCAGGTGCAGGAGTTACTGCTCACTTCCATGGGAGCAGAGGGACTGATTTTCCCTTGGTTTCCCCCACTGCATCCTGAGATGTCTGTGCAGCTGCCGGGCCAGCCATTACAGCAAGACTCTCAAGATGGGTTTTCCAAGGTTGGATTGAGATGGTTTTAAGAATTAACAAGCATCTGTTAATACTTTTTTTTTTTTTTTCAACAGAAAATTATTTGGGAGTTGGGGGTCTTAAATAATTTTAGTGCTTTTTCCCACCCTTTTTCCCCCTGTTTTATAAATGGGAGGTGGCAGAAGCCTCCCCAGAGCTCATTATTCCCCATCCCAAACTGGGATCCAGCACCCAGCATGGCTGTGCTGCTGCCTTCATAGGCATGGGGGAGGTGGGGGAATTTTGGGGCAAAAAGGCACAGAGACACTGAGTGTCCTTTTGTTGGCATGGTCCATGGTGTCACCATGGATATTGTACCTCCTTGCATCCAGGCAGTCACAGGATGGGGACATGCTGTAAAAAGTGAATCCAGACCTCCAAAGAATAAGGCTTTTATTGTATATCAATATACACAGTAAATATGTGACTCCTCCTAACACGCTCTGGAGAAAAAAAATCCTGTCTGAAATGGAGCTTATTGAAAGGAAATAAATTGCTCCCATAAAAATGCTGATCCCTCCCTACTTCTCAAAACTGAAACAAAATCGTTTGCTGTGAGCTGAAGACCTTTCTTCTCTTGGCTCCTGGTTTTCCAAGAAGAGCAGGGAACATGAAGGAAAAACAAGCCTTCCCCATTAAAACCCGCTTAAGTGAAACTCCAGTTTTCTCTTAAACTTTGCTTGGAAACATTTGGAGCAGCTTCGTGCAAACCAGTTCTGCTCTTTGAAAGGCCATTAAAATAAAAAACACCCAACCCAAAATAGCCATCTCTGCAAGAAGCATCTTGTTTGGACAAAAGTGGTTTGTTTTACACCCTGAATCCAAACACTCCTGGGGAAATGTTGTGAAATCCGCCGTGCTGGCGGTGCGGCGGCTCCAGGGATGTTTTGTGGGACATGGACAAAGCTGGTGGGTGCTGCCACAGTGATGGCCACCACCAGCACTTCACCGCTGATTGTCCCAGCTGCTGGAGTATCCCTGGCTCAGCACAGTGCGTTTTCCATCAGGGTGAAGGCTTGCAGGGCTGACTTCTGGCAGGGAGGGATTTTGTACCAGCGTTCAGCCCCACTCTGATCTCGCCCCAGAGCTCCTGTGGCCTCTGCAGAGCCCATCATATGCAGGAGCTGAGAACACTCACCTTGGGACAAACAAAAACCATTTTCCAACAAGGTGTTTAAGCCCTTCTTATTTTTTGGAGGGCTTTTTTAACATACTCCGTGTTATACTCAGAGCACAAAAAAAATCCCACAGTAATTCCTAAGCCAGCAATATACACACCAGCAATCCTGATACAATATTTAACCTATATATAAGAATAAAATTGCATATATAAATCCATATTTTAATATATAAAAATAAAATAAATGTAAGTACAAATATCATTACGATTGTAGTTGTAAATATAAAGTATATATAGCATGTGTGTGTGTGTATATGTGCATATATATGGTGCTGCTTTTTCTGCTAGTGGCATCAGTCTGTGATTTAGGAAATCACAAATATTTCTATGCCAGGGCCTTTGGCAGTGAAGTCTTGCCATGCAGCTGCCCCTCCTGTGCAGCAAGCCCAGCCTGGTGAACCCTGCCAGGAGCTCAACACCCATGGAGTTAGGGAGAAGTTGTTCATCACAGATTTGCCTGAACCTGCCAGTTTGTTGGGGAGCTGGGATCCTCTGGATGGGCACTCCACATCCACTGTGGCTCTCCAGGAGGAAGCTGGCCCAGCCTCATCTGCTCGGTGTGATGCTGGAATCGTGGGTGGAGGGTGGGGAGCCCCCAGTGCCGTGTCCTCCCACCCCAAGAGCTGCTGCCCCCGCCTTTCTTCTGGAGGGGATGGGGGGAGAAAGGGCTACACCACTGTGAAACTGCAGTTTTAGAGGGTGGTGATTATTTTCTTGGGCCAAAAGGACAAGAAACATCATGTCTAAAGATGACAGGCTCGATTTGCTGTGTCATTAACCAGAGCCGAAACTCTAGATGGGCTGGTCTCCTGTGAGCTGCACGCTGCTTCCCGTGCTGCTGCTGAGCTCTGATTCTGCCAGATAAAGGCCTTTGTGGGTGCATTTCTCTTGCTCAGACCTTGTTTTAATTCCATGGATGCTATTATGCTGTCTATGAGATGAGGAAGTGGTTTCTCCCCTGCTCCCTCATGTATTGAATGTGCCCCCTAAAATGCACTGGCCCCCCAGCACACATGCGCTCCCTCAGGTGCTTGCAGGGGCTTCAAATAAGCACAAAGCATAACCCTCCTTCTCCAGGAAAAAAAAAACCCTCGTTCCCAACCTTCCACAGCCTTGAGATCTCATGGTTGGATCCCCAAGGTCCAGCCCAGGAGTGGTGTGGTGACAATGGTGTGAGGTGCAAACAGGCAGAAGAATCGGGAAAAACGACAAAAACCCCCAAACAAAAACCCCATAACCACCCATCTCTTGGTCCTGGCTGTGGTGACAAACCCCAATCCAGGTTAAAAACAGCTGCTGAGACCCAAATGTGGTGGGTGAGGAGAGCAGCCAGGTGAGCTGGGTTCAGCATTCAGCCACGCCAGGGGCTCAGCTGGGCTTATGGACACCAGCACCTAAACACAAAGCACTTTTTAAAGGATGCTCTGGGCTCTGAGCAGCCCCTGCCTTTGCAAGCAGAAAGCTGGAGGCGACAGGGCTCACATGGAGGGGGTGGAAAGGGAGCAGTGGAGCCGTGTCCCGCCTGCCAGCGCCGCATGAGCCGGCTCAGAGCGCAGTAGGAAAAAACACCGCAATAGGCAAAGCATCTCCCATTTGCCCCTAAGCTCTGGCTCTTCCTGTGCTGATAACAAGCCCAGTAAATCTCCTTACAGCAATGAGACATTTTTTTCCCCTCTCCTTCCCTCCTCACAGCCTTGTCAGACCGTGCTGGCTGTGGGAGCTGGGGTGGGACCGCCCTCCTCACCCCTCTGTGGGGAAATATCCCAAAGCATGCAGCCCCCCGAGCACCCCAGCAGGTTCCAGAGGTTTCAAGCCCTGCCCTGGGGTGTGGGAAGGAGCTGGGTGCAGGCAGGAGCTGTCTCCTCTCTAATTGCCCCCGGAGCCCTATGGGTGAGCCGCTTGCTGCTATCTCAGGCCATCGCAGCTGGTGCTGGGCTGAGTCAGGAGAGATGGAGACTGATACTGGCCCTCTGTCCGACTGACAGGGGTGCAGGGCAAGAGTGCAGGAAGAAAACCTGGCATGTACATGTCTAAAATCTCCCTGGCCTTAGTGCTCTGGCTGAAACAGGGAGCTTAGGCAGTGAGCAGGTTCCCATCAGCAGTTTGGTGCTCAGCCCCGGGCTGGATGAGCCCCAGAGATCTGTTAGATGTAGCTCCTGACCTGGGAGAGTTTGAGCCTGCCCAAAACCTGGCAGAAAGAGCATTGCTGTTCTGAAAAAGCAGCTCTGGATATGCTGGGCAGCAGGATGGGGTTTATTCAATTTAGGAGTTGTGGTGGGACACAGGGCCATAATTTCCCATGCAGGAGATGGCCACAGAGCTTCCTCCCAACTGCTCTTTTTCTGGCTGAGGGTTGGGACCCCTTTCTGGTCCCACCGTGCTGCTGTTCCCTCCTCATGGCCAGGACCTGCCACTGAGCTGCCCCCAGTAAATGCCACCATGCCATGGCTCAGCTGCTGCCCTGCTGGGATTTTCCTCCCTCCTGCATCAGCAAACACTGCTCATTCCCCTCTTCCTCTCATGAATTCCTCATAAATTTCCCACTGCCGGCTCCACCAGCGCCGTGTTCCCATTAAACCTTGCAGGCTGATTGCATCTGTCAGTGTCACTGTCTGGGGCTGGAATGTGTCACCCTGCTCCAGAGGAGCCATGTATTCAGCCGTGGCAGAGCATTTCAGGACAAAGCACTGGGTTAGATCACGGTGGGACAGTTTTGCTGCAGTGGCAAGCGCTGATCCATCTCGTGGAGCGGGAGGAAAGCACCGCCTCTGGATTCTTTCCTATTTATTTTTCCTAAACAGAGGGCTGAGAAGTGCGAGAGTCACCTACCTACAGGATCCTGAACTTTGCCGGAGCATCCTAAAGAAAGGGAGTTTGCTTTAAAAAGCCTCCAAACCCCATGAATTTGGAGCAGAGATTTTTTTCCACTGTCCCTGCCATGTCTCACCGCTTTTGTCCAGATTCTTGGGGTGCCTGGTTGGTGGCAGGGGTGGCCCCAGAGCTGCATGTACTTTGGGGTCCCTGCTGTGGTAGCAAGGGCTGGGGCTTGTGGGGTCTGGGATGTCCACAGTAGTGGAGGAAGCAGGTACAACCATGGCCCAGCACCTCACCATGTCCCTGCAGGCAGTGGGACGGGGAGACTCCGGTGGTGACAGTGCAGTGACCATGGGGAGCAGCCAGCTATGACAACCCCATGCCCACACCAGGTCCCTAATGGTGAGAAGGGGGATCTCTTGAGACATTATATGTGATAACCAGACATTCAGAGTTAAAACATAAAATGAAATTATGCTTCTGCTCTCATTATTGATGTAAGTGTGCAGCTGCATGCAGGAACCCCACATGCTGGGAAATACTTCATCTTGACCATCAGGAACTTCATCCTCTGTCCCTGCCTGGGGAAATCTCACACCTCTAATGGCAGAGGTGTGTGTTTGGGTGGGGCATGGAGTGAGATGAAGAGATGAAGGGACAGCTGTAACCTCGAGGACAGGCACCCTTGTTCAGCTCTGCACAGCAGGAGCGAGTAATTCCTGGCACAGGGATGGACTCAGATTTGGGATACATATCCTTGGATGGTACTGTGCCACTGGTAGCAGGTTTCCCTTTACTTTTCCTCAGCTACCTGTGCTGGTGTCCTCCAAGGGGGGCTCAGATGTGCTGGGAAGCTCCTCTCCCCAGGGTGCTGCCCGGTGACCTGCGTATGGTAAGGGTGGAAGAGACAGTCAGTCTGTGTTGCTTTGTTTATAAGAACATATTTGCAGTGATTGATGCCTGAGCTGGGGAAGTATGCTTGCAAGTGAGACTTTAAAACATGAATCAAACAATGTTTGGAATATGTATGCTGCTCTGTCAAACATTTCTCGGCGTTTGGAGTCTGCAGAGCCTGCGCGTCCAGAGGTACCAGTGCCTGCGCAGAGGTGTCTGCAGGGAAAGCATCCACCACGCTGTGAGGGTGAGTGTGGGCATCCTGCAGCCTCGCCATCCCTCTCCACCCCAGGAGGCTGCTGGGAACAGTTCAGGATTTGCACCGTGGCCAGGGGTGCACGTGGAGGCGTCCCGTTAAGCGCCGTCCATCACGGGACATTCCTTCACGCGACGCTCCTTTCTGCCAAATTGTCCCTGGGGCCTGCTGAGGAATGAGAGCGGCCCTGGAGGACAGAGTCGGCTTTCAGGCTTCCTTCCCCTCCAGATAACCCCACTGCCCGTGGAGAGAAGAAAGGTCTGGAAGGGGAGGGCCACATCCAGATGTTCACTAAGTACATTAAGACCCTCAGCCAGAGGAGCACATGCTTCAGGTTAAGCCCCTGAGCAGTCCCAGCTGCAGCAGAATTAATAAAGTCTTCACTTAATCACTTACTGAATGCTCTCCCTGATAAAGACTGGGGTACTTTATAGTGGACAGGGAATCTTCTCAGGGTTTCTCTTTGCATGTCCTGCTTGGGCAGTCCTATATGGGCATCCCTCCACACTGGCATCCCTGCTGCCATGCCAACTCCTTTGCCCATGGAGCAACATGGGTTTCCCAGTTAAGAGAGCTGCCTGCACTATAATACAAGGATTGTGGATCTCATCCCATATTTTCTGGAGCTCTGCTTTCTCTTCTATTCATTGGGATGTTCTACTTCCCATTGCCCATGGAGTGGATCTAGACACAGCTCATCCCCACAGAACCAGCTGTGGAAATCACTGCCAGCTGTTGGAACAGCTCTGTCCCAGCTGCTCCACCCCACTTCCTCCAGGTCCCAGGGGATACCTTGCTCTCCTAACCCCAAAATGGCCCTGGGCCACCACTTCGCTCCACACAGAGGATCCAGCTGAGGGGAGTGATGTCCTCAGATTCAGGAACTTGCAGACATGACCTGATGGCACCAGGTGCTGTGTCATGCTCAGGGAAGCGTCATCACCCCAATAAGCTCTCCTGGCGGGCAGGATATCTGGGGTAATGCCAAGCCCACCTTTCCTGGGAAAGGGATTGGTTTGGAACAGCCTGAGAGGGGCAGGTGCCAGCTGGCTGCCATTCACTGCCCATAAATGATGTATCCAACCCCACACTGGGTGAGGAACAGAGAGGGACACCAGAAACTGGGCATCCCTCCAAGATGGGCAAACCTTCC